GGGACTGGATGATTTTAAGGTCCCTTCCAACCCAAACCATTCTGGGATTCTATGACATGTGTATCTACCTCTAGAAAGTCCAAGAAAACACATTTCCAAACCACACTCCCCCCAGAACAGGGCTGGGCTCAGCTTAACTGAGTCCAGAGTTCTCCAAGAGCCTGTGCCCATGGCAGCCCTGTGGGGAGCAGCTCTCTGCTCCTCTGTCCTCAAAGGAAGTTCTTCAGCTTGAAAAGAAGCTCTCCTGTGTTTCTGCTCAGCCTCAAACCATCATGACTTCAGGAAGAATTTCTCCACTGGAGGGTGGTCAGGCCTTGGCAGGGGCTGCCCAGGGAGGTGGTGGAGTCCCCACCCCTGGAGGTGCCCAAGGAAGGGCTGGACGTGGCACTCAGTGCTCTGGGCTGGGGGACAAGGTGGGAATTGGACACAGGTTGGACTTGATCTTGGAGATCTCATCCAACCTTAATGATTCTGGGATTCTATTCTCTGCCCCAGCCCTGGCTGAGGAGAAAGGGAGCTGCTGGCACCTCAGGAAGGTGTCCTTGAGGTGCAAATGTAGCCACCAGACATGAAACTGCAGAGGGCAGAGCATCATCTCCACAACTGATCTGATGACGAGCATCACAGGAAACAGCTCTGTGAGAAAATCAGTTTTTCCAGCACTGCCCAAACCTGTCCAAGTGACAGGGGACTGTCCCTGCCCAGAACACCCACAGCAGGAGCTGCACCAGTGCAGTTTTCCTCTAAAATGCCTCAGTGGTTTCCTGTCCCGCTCAGTCAGTGGTAAATCTGCTTCGAGGGGGCAAATTCCAGGTTTTATTTTGTTTTATTTTTTTATTTTATTTTATTTTATTTTATTTTAAATTTAATTTTCCTTTCTGTCGGGGTTGCCACCAGAGGGGGCCAACAGGCACCGCTTGGGGCAGCTGGGACAAAACTGGTTTTGAGCAGACAGAAATCCCCGACAGACAGTGCAGGATCACACCGGGGGCTGCAGGGGAGATTCCCGGGCACGGCAGAGCCACTTTTTCAATGTTTTTAACAGCCTTCAAGGCTAGATCAGCAAATATAAATCCCTGCTCTGACTCAGCAACTACCACACAGGTGCCTTAATGGTGGTGAAAAGATTTGCCCACATGATTTAGGTTAAAGATACGAAGTGAACAAACTCCAGAGCACTGATGGAGTGCCCCAGGTCGTGGATTTTGGGCATTCACACAGAATTTGTTCGTGGGGGTCAGTGGCCCAGGTGTCTCACACAGCACATCAAGATTTGTTGGGGTCTGTGTGACTTAAAATGACATTTTTCCAGTCCTTTCTGTCCCATTCTCTTTCCCTGATTTTATGTCTGTCTCTCTATACACATAATTACCTACAGAGATGTGTGTGTGTGTTTATACATATATATATATATATACATATATTCAACAGCAGGCAGAAGGGTGGAGGTTTAAACACACCTATAAAAGTGTTAAGAAGCAAAATGAAGGCTCCAGACCACCTTACCCAGACTATTCCTATTCCACAGGAAAACAAAGTCACTTGTGAAAGATCAAGAATGGCCTGAAGCCAAGGGGTTCTGCACATGAAAGCTGAAGAAACGAACTGACCTCAGCACCACATGTAATTAATTCCAAAAAAGTAGTTTAGTTCCAAAAATGACACTTCCCAGGTGTGACATTAACGTGCTGTGCCACCCTTCTTGAAAACAAGGCGTAAAGGAAATTTCTTGGGGTGCTGGAAAATGGGAGGGAGGGGTGTTAATGTGTACTAGAAATTCAGAGAAGCAGCTTTGAATCATAGTTGCCTTTTTTTTTTTTTTTTTAATTTGGTCTTTCATCTTGTGTTTCCCTTATGCAGAGCACCCAGGTCGTGGGTGATGTAAATGCTTTGTTTCTACACAGTTTGATTTTCCTTTTCCAGTCTGTCCTCCTTCATCCTAAAATAGGCAAGTATAAATTTATAAAAAGGAACACGAGCAGCCAGCTTGTAACCTGTGATGGGGGCAGGGGGCTGTGTGATCTGCTGCCACCAGAAGCTTCCCTTTAATGCTGTGGCACCCAAGACAAGTGTCACAACACCTGTGTTGTCCCTACAACCCTCTAACACCCCTTTGAGCAGAGGAAAAGAAAAGCTTCTATCTCTGCTCAGCATAAGGAGGGCGTGAAGTTGCCCCTGAGGTGAAGGACCACTCACATAATCCAGCTGGGAACATCTGGAGAGAAAACCTGACCATCCCAAGAGGGTGATCACACAAAAATTGGTCCCTTCCTCAGGAATTGCAAAGAGAATAATTAAGTCAATTGATCACAGAATCACAGAATCAACCAGGTTGGAAAAGACCTCTGAGATCATGGAGTCCAACCCTTGACCCAACCCCACCTTGTCACCCAGCCCATGGCACTGATGCCACATCCAGGCTCTGCTCAAACCCCTCCAGGGACGGGGACTCCACCCCCTCCCTGG